ATCATCTTCGAACCTTCAACAACCTCACCCAACGTAATTTCAACAAGCCCAAAAAAAAGTCTCGGTAGGACCAGAAAGGCATGGATAAAAATCGAGGCTCTTTGTTCGGCTAAATGAATTTATCGGTGGTCGAAACTGAAATCCACTCAAGATCCTTAGATTAAACTCGGCGCGAAGCCCGGATCCAGACAACTCGTACAACTCATCGAGACTCCTCGCCTGATCCAATTTATTATCCTACCCGTAGCTGTGCGCGAGCGCGCGCTCCAGCAAGGAAGGTCCCGTTGACTTTTGCACACGTCTCCTTTTTCACGACACACGTCGTCACGAGGAGTACAGGAGCTTTGTCTCCCCGTCGGGAGAAAACAATAGGGGGATTAATTTCTTCTTGCCAGAAAACAGACGCGGAAAGCTTGCACGTGCCCAGTCGACGCGCTACGTGCAGCCTTTAAAACGCTTTGTTTCCCTCTATCCGGGAACACCCTTGATTTGCTTGCTTCCGTACGAAACGCGTGCCTGGCTTAACCCTCTTCACGGGGCTCCGCTAGGTATGTACAGCTTCAAGTGTCACGGATTACCTTCTTGCTACTTTACTGGTTTCTGTGTAAGCACACTTCTGGGGATGATGAATCTGTGATTTACTCGATGCACTTGATAAAAGCATTGTTGGAAATGAAGATTTCCTTGTGGATTCGTTATGCGTTCGTCTGTGAAGGACGTGTTTGAAACTATTTAGTTAACATGACTTTTCAGAACTTAATGACGTGATTATAGGGGTATTAGCTGTTTTTTGAGATTTTTTCACGAAGGAACTATAAGACTTTTTAGTATCGATTTTTTGTATATAAGTTTGTTTATGTTTTAAGAATATTAAGCGTTTTTTTTTTAAAGTGAAAGTAATCAAAATTGATCAAAAGCGTTTCGAACTGTTTGACAAGATTTGTTAGAATATAATGACCTGATTAGTTTGAAATTGTATTCTATTCTATATTAAATTCATTCAGGCGAACAAAGGGCCTAGATTCTTTTCCCATTCTTTTCTGTTTTGACCCCGATTCTTTAGGGTTTGTTGAGATAATGTTGGATGAAGTTGTTAATGGTTTGGAGATGCTGAGTCAGTGAATTTCAATTAGGGGTGTCAAGAGATTTTTGGATTAATCGTGAAGAGTAGATTCAGTCTTGAAGAAACAATTCCACTACATTTAACGAATATTTTGATCTTGCTTTAATATCGAATCAAAGTTTCAATTATCTGTTAGACGTCTTTATGGAAGTTAGCTCGAATTGAACCTATGAAATCAATTTTTTTTCTTTCTCTATTTTGAAGGTACCAAAGTGTTCTGCTGAAAGAATTTTTGAAAAATTACAAATATTCATAAAGTTACGCACGTCTGAAGTCTAGCGGTAGATAATAAAATGATCACTGTATATATTGCATGTACACGTTTTCCTCGAAATGAGGTGTCTTAAACTGGTTAACACAATTTCTCAGAAACTACCGATCCGATTAACTTCAAATTATATATACATCTTCTATATACCTCCCTCTATTGTCCCTGCAAAAATTATAAAAATATCAACAATATTTATAGATTAAGCTAAATAGAAAATTGTTCAAAATAAAATTATCGACTGCCTTTTTTTTTCTCAAGCAGGGAAAGTTGAGGCAAGTTTACTGATCAAAATGACAGTAGTTATTCTTATTTATAACGATGACAAAAAATGCAGTATCAAAAAAATTAAATATCTATTTACAAACCAAAACTGAAAGAAATTTCATTTTCCCGATGCTTCTGCCGCTAAAAATCGAAGAGACTGAGGATAACAAATATCTCAAAGGCAATCGTTAATTCTTCAGTTTTCACAAACTTTCGTCCGCCGTTAGAATCTCAGCAAATGCACAAACTTCGTATCGGCGAAAGGTTGACGCGTAAAAAATGCACGCCGAAATTGACATTACCGTTTAATAAACGAATCCCGACGATTACAGAGAACGTTCGTGGCTGCGCGAGGAAGGGGTTGGGGGCGGATGGGCGGCGGACAATTTCCCGCGACGAGAAGACTGCTATTAAACGCGAGGACAGGACATCGATCGCGGGGAAATTCAATTGCAAAGTCATACATACTGCACGGGAAAATTCTCGTGAACGATCGCATTAATTTTGCAGAGGCGGCAGACTATTGCCAGTGACACGATACGAGTTTGCTCGACGGTATAATTGTTCCGCGGTAGTTATGAAAGTTCGTTTCCGGTGTGGATGACTTGTTGCAAACAGACGTGCCGACGCAATCGAATTGCCGAAATTTTGCGCTTTTCTACGGACACACCGGTTGGTTGTCGACTTGAAAATGCGAAAAAACGCGGGAAATTGGGACGTCGCGAGACCGCCTCGAGGAAATTGAATCAGAAAGTGCAACGGGAATTAACGCGAAGTTTATGTGGATATTTTTCGCTGAAATATGCACGTTGCCGTTCATAAGTATTAGCACACCCGTTGTATTCGTAGAGAAACTGTTATACGATTTAATCTTTAACTACAGACGTCTGTTTTTAACCCTTGCCCGGTGGTCGGGTCTTTTTCGACCCATCGCCTTTTAATTTTTTTCAAAAATTTCTGCTGCTATCAAGATTATGTTTTCTTAAGTATATATTAAAAGTGTATTGTCTAGGTTCATATGGCGTGCTGGTAAAAATTGTTACACGTAAGGTCTTTTTTGGGGCTTTTGGTCTTCGGGTCTTTTTTGACCCAAAGACCTTAATTGTAGATATAGTTGAAAGAAAGAATGCACTAAAGATTAAAACGTTACCACAGACGTGTAGTTTCTTAGACTACTTTTGTAATTTTATTTTATTTTTATAATAAAATCTTATTTTATTGTTTTGGTCTTTATAGACGAGGTGATTGGTAAGATGAAATGAAAACTAATGCCATAGTTACGTTTATGGTAATGTATTTATGAGTTTGATTTTGAGTTTGATCTATTTAAATTTAATTCTTGCAATTACATAGTGTACTGTAAAATCACTTAAAATTTTTCCAGTTTTAGTATACGAGCATTCTGATTTTTTTAGCTGTTAATAATTTAATAATTATTGTATCAAGACAGAATGAAGACAAAAATAATAAAAATCCCTCAAGTTTTACTTCACCCTGAGAAATAATAAAACTTCATGTTATTCATATTTTTTTCGAAAACACTCCACAGTTCCTATTATCGAAAAATTCAAATTTCCAATTTTTTAAACAAACACGATCTCTTCCATTTAATCCACAACCCACCAATTAATAAAAAAAAAAAAAGGAAGAATAAAAAGGTAGAGAAGGTAAAAAACAACCCGTTCCAACATACCGGACAAAAAGTCCCGAAAAGCCTGTTCGTCAACTGTACAAAATGCAGTGTGGCTTAACGGTATATACAAGCAAAGCCATAATCACGGTGAATTGCGTGCGATATTGCAGGTGGATGCACACGCGAGCGACACGAGCAGTCGATACACTCGTGAGAGCTGGTCTGTCGTGTTCGGCAGCGAGCGAGCCGCATGAATTTTTATGAGCTTAGGAAATTAATTTGTGTTTTTCGCTAAGCCCTGGCTTAGCGCCGCGGTAATTAATTGCGCTGATTGCTCTGCATCATTGATAAGCGGTTCTCTGGCTTTCGTAACGTTTACCCCCACAGGGAGCTTTATCTACCTCTCTCTCTCTCCCTCTTCCTTTCGCTCTATCCATTTCTCTCTCTTTCTGTCACACGCACACACCCTCTGGTCCTTTTGTCTGCGCACGCTTCGACCAGCCCCCATTTTTCGGATTTGCAACGAACGAGCTGTGTGTTCCTCGTAATTGGCCCGCGAAACGCGACTAGCTGTTCCGCGTTAAATCATGCACCAGGTGATAGGGCACTTTTGAATTTTTGTCAAACCTGCGGTACACGGCCTGGCTAGGATGCAATTGGTGTGAAGGTTCTTCGTTGGATCAGATTGTGTTGCTTTGTTAATTTAACACATTGTTGACGGGACACACGAATTCGCGGCTTTTGTTCGTCAACTGTTAGCGACAGGAGACGCATCATCCTGCACCTCTATTATCGAATAACGTATTGCAAATTGTGTCAGAAATACTCTGAGACGGGGTAGGGCGGGCGTAAAATTAATTAAACTTTTCTACGTTCTCGCAACAGTGTATTTTACACGAAGACTATTTCCGCGTTGTCTGAGCGTCGTTCGCAAAAAGTACGCGTTCAACGGTCTCGTGAAGAGTCAGGGCGCGTCGTCCTGCCGGTCCCTTGTTCCCCTCTCCCGCGAAGCAGGCCCAGGAAAGACCCAAAGGGGCGGAGTCTCCCCCACCACGCGTGCTGGGCCCGGCCTCAAGCGGCTCGCTTCACCGTCTTCCAGACGGATTTTCTCACACCTCTATTATCGAATGAAGTGTTGAATATTATTTTTTTAAAGCTACACATGTCAGTGTTGCCTGAGAAGAAAAATTTCCTTTTGTTTCTCAACTGTTTGCGACAGGAGACGCGTCATCCTGCACCTCTATTATCGAATGAAGTGTTGAAAATGATTATTTCTAAGGACACTGAATGAAATATATCGCCTGAGAGCAAAAATGTCTCAGTACATTGCAATACAATTGCATAAACAGTTCGTAGGTAGGGGTCCTATAAGCGGACCCCAGCTTTCAACCTTTTGGGTGTCCAGACACAGTTCCTAAGAGCTATTCGTACAGAAAAGACGTTCTTTCCGAGCCGTGTTGATAAAAGAAAATTCGATATATAAAAGGAAACTTTGATTTCCAATATCAAACGTGTCAGTTTGTCATTTTTCAGTTTCTGATTGAAACAGTATATTATTGAATATATGTATATACACAAACGAAATTGAAAAACAATAATGTATAATAAATTTATCAATTTTTTCTTGACTTTTAGGCTTGACTAAAAATTGTCAACTGATTGTTATTAAAAAATGGAAGAATAAGGAGTTTCCTTTGTTTTTGTTACAGACACTAGTTACTCTGCTTATCATCCAGCTTTGCACGGAGTCGGTGACGATTTGTGCGTGAGGCGAAAGCAGAGGAGAAACAGAACAACATTCACTCTTCAGCAACTGGAGGAACTTGAGACAGCGTTTGCGCAGACACACTACCCGGATGTCTTCACGAGGGAAGATCTGGCAATGAAGATTAACCTAACCGAGGCCAGAGTTCAGGTTAGTACGATAGATCGAGTGAATGTGACACCAGAAACGAGGTATACTAAAGACTCACCATCTTGGACAATTACACGGATCTAAATAAAAATTAATTGGACAAAATTCACACTATACTTCCTTATTTGGAACATCGATCAAAACAATCTTCTTTTTTAACATATCTGGTTTGTAACACATTCGGTAAATTTTAAATGTTAGGTCATCTTATAAGTTCGTGTTAAATTTTATAATTTAGATCAGTATAATATTTTCAACGAACCTTTAAATTTGATTTAAAGAAAACGTAAGTGCCTTCTCATTCCACTTTTTTAATTTATTCTTACTTTTAACTTTTTTTTTATTTTTTTGGTAAAACCATTATATCGTCACTATAGTATTTTTCTTAAAGTAGGTCATCCCATATGTTCGTGTCGAATTTTATAATTTAGATCAATATTTCCAACGAAGCTTTAAATTTGGGGGGGAAAAAACGTAAACGCCTTCTCGTTCTACAATTTTTTTTATTTTTTCGATAAGACTATTATGTCGTCACTAGAGTATTTCCTTGAATTTTCATTAAAATATTTTCCGCTCTCAGCACGAACTTACGGGATGACCTAATAGATTGAAATTTCAGATAATTTTTTCCTCTTAATTAATTACACATCGCGTATCGAAAACATTAAATGAAATCTTATTAAAGATACATCGAATGGTAGTATATTTAAAATCCAACAAATGAAATTACTACACGTGTTCAGTCAAGTGATGGTTAATTCAGTAACGAATTATTGTTCAGATTTTTTCTTTGAAATTAAACCATCCATCGTAAACAATAATAAGAAAAATTGAAGATTATTCTTTATTAAAAATGATGGAAACATTTAGAATGAAATAAAAAGTGTCTAAAAAATATTCTACATAAATGGAGAACCTTTCAAAAGTTATTAAGCTAAATAAACTAAATATTAGTAAAAATTTTAAAAAATTAAGCATATATTATTTTTTTCCATCAGAAGCATTTAATGCATATTCCAAACACGGGAATCTCTTAATTATTTCGAGTGGTACGTTTTTTCGCATTTATTTCTCCAAATTAATTTGGAACACCATCAAATGAATGGTACAGAGGAGAGGAAAATAAAATAAAATGGAAATGTTGGCTGATGACAGGATCCGTAATCAATTAACTTTTAACTTATTATAATATACAATCGCATGCTAATGCGAATGCACTTTAGCAGATGTGCTCAATCTCCTCTGTTTCATATAACAAATTTAATGTTCGAATAATAATTGTAAATGTAGTTTTTTGTTTTTAAAACCTTTCAAAAGTTATTAAGCTTGTGTTCCGTTAAAAAAAATTACAATTTTTGAATAAATAATACAAGAAAAAATATTCCCAAAATAGACTTTAGTAGATTCCAATAGAATTCAGTCAATTTCAGTGGATTTCCATAAGTTAGGTTAGAATTTAGGGTTAGGTTAGGTTAGAATTCCGTGGATTTCAGTAGATTTCCGTGGGTTTCAAAAGATTTCCGTAGGTTTCAAAAGATTTCAATAGATTTTAATAGAATTCAGAAAATTTCACAATATCGTTAGTATATTTTAGTGAATTTTAATAAATTTTAGTAGATTTCAGTATGCTTCACACTCAGCAAGTGTCCTAATACTTATAAACGGAAGTGTAGGTACCATAAATTTCTTCATCACGCAACATAACGAGCCTAATAACAGCGTATAACATCGATAACCCAAAAACTAACCTATATTCAACGCGCCAACAGAAAATCTAGCAATAATTTCTTCAATTTTCAAGAAAGTATCGAAAACAATTGTGTCATGCTAAATTTAAACGAAAGAAAATTCACAAACATTACCAGAAATGAAGGAAACCAGAAAAATACCATAAATCTCTCCTTAACGCAGCATATTGAGCACGATAACCCAAAAACTAACCTATATTCAACGCACCAACAGACAACTAGCAGTAATTTCTTCAATTTTCAAGAAAATACCAGAAACAATTATATCATATCAAACTTAAACTAAAGAAAATTTATAAATACTACCAAAAAGGTACCATAAATCTGTTCATCGCACAATGTAGGTATTGCAACTCGTATAACGATAATTTACGATCTGAGGGAACAAAAGGTTAGGTTAGTGACGAAAGTGTACGGTCAAACGAGCGATAATGATCGACTATTTCGACGCGTGACGATGGATCCGTGGTGTAAGAGCAAAAGCGCAAGATGTGGGGTAATTTTGGGGTACACCCGACTCCCGCGGGAGGTGCTGACACCCTCGACCTGACGTAATCTTCTGACAGAGTAAGCCGGTAATCTCCAGGATTACTTTGTACTCTTGGCTACGTCCTCCTGGCCATATTTACTCGCACCGGCGTAATTCGTGCTACAGAGAATCCCGGCAGTAATAGCGATTCCCTGCTGAAATCCTGTTGGAACATCTGCAGGATATCCGATTGCTGCTGTCAGATTTTTAATTCCTCCCCCTTTTTCCACATTAGCCATGTCAGAATTTTGTCAGAGAGATCTTTTTTCCTCGACACATACACCTAATTTAACGAATACAGTTAACGATGAAATATTGTTAATTAACCCTTTTATAACGATTTTCTTTCTTCTATATTTTCTTTACCCTCTACAACGCCATGTGACTTACATTTTATAGTCTCGTTTTATTCATTTACTGTTACACATATAATTATTACATTTTTATGATAATTACAATTTTTAAAATTTATAACAATTAGTTTTCATATTTATTGGAAGGTACCCTATCCGTTTATCTATATTTTACAGTCTCGTTTTATTTATTTACTGCTATACATATAATTACTACAATTTTTTAAATTTCTAATAAGTACTTTTTATATTTATTGAAAGTTACGTATCCATTTATCTGTATTTTATAGTCTCATTTTATTTATTTATTATTGCATTATATTGTTGTACTATTACATTATTGCCAGCCAATTTTTTATAATAACTGCAATTTCAAAAATTGCATTATAATAATTATCTCATCAAAATGTAAAAAAAATCAACCGATACTTGTCTTCTCGTGCAATGTTACATTTTTTATATCTATTCGTGTTTCCCCCACCAAATGTAAACGAAGCATCAACCGAAATTTTCCTTCTCACGAACGAAGAGAAATCAGGTTATAGAGGGTTGATTGATTTTTCTGCGGATTTCTTTCTCTCTGTCGTTTTATTTTTTAAATTCACCACCATCCAACGTCGTTTCCGCGGTACTGTGTTATACGTTTCTTCGGGGTAAGTGTCGGGGCACTCAGACCCCGGAAACGTGGCCTCTATACACCGGGTGAGCCGGGGCGAGTGGTGCAACCGGGCAAAAGGTGGTTCTACGTGTAAAAATAAACCGAAAATGTGGAATAAAATTTTTTCATAAGGTGCTCAGTTTTGGAGAAGGTTAAATTTAAAGATTTCTCTATAAACTCCGCTTATACGTATTTTCATTAGTATGGGTAGTTCACGACTCTCTGATTCAAGGAGCAAGAATTTATATGCATCAACAAGGACGTCACTTTTAACAATTCGTTCGGTAATCCAAATTGAACTTGAGGAAATTTTTAATAAACGTACTTTCAGTACTTACGACATTGTCGTCTCTTAGTACAAACATAAAGTCGAGAGGTAGTTAAATGCACGCGTACGCCAGAAATTTGAAATTCAATTTTCTTGGAAACTAAGCTTCTTATGAGAAAATTTTATTCCTCATTTTCGGTTTATTTTTATGTGTAGAATCATCATCTGCCCAATTATCTTGGGCCGCCTTAAAATCATACTTAATTGCCACCTAACGTTCAGCTCCATAGGTCTCGAAAAATAATTCAACAAGTACTTAAATAACTTCCACAGTAAGAAATAAAAAAACAACTGATTATCAAAAAATGCCTCTTCTTTCCTGGATACATTGTTAACTGATTTTTCTGTGAATTTCTTTATCCTCCAACAGACAAGCTGAATTAATTCGTTCTTAACTCTTCTGATTAACAAATGTGCCAATTAAGAGATTCTTTATTTTTCCATGGAAATTTTCAATCGTTCGAAGTCGTGTAATTTAAATATTAATAATAGAGCGATATTGAACGAATTTTTCTCTAATTTATGTCGAATTATAGAGCTCTCTTATGAACAAACTAACAAAACAGAAATTGTTCAAAGTGCAATATCGACAAATTAGCGAATATAAATTCTCAAAAAAAAAAAAAAAAAGAAACATTTCAAACGACAATTAAGTTTGCACAGAGCTTGTTAAAAAACTCTCGTATTGAACATTTTTATTAGCAGACAAATATCCTTGTTCAAAGGGGAAAGGATACGTTCGTTTAAGTTTTATTCGGTCAACGAGACTTTGTACGAGGTACGCATTTAATCGATGCAATTATACGTTTCGGACAACATTTCTTTCTTTCTTTTTTTTAACGCAAACACGACCCTAGGGAAAGCCTGCCAGCAAGCAATGAAGATTAAACGATATAACGAGGAGCAAAGATTATAGAATTTAAATGCCGGATGTAATCTGATGAAGAATTAATAAATAACAGCAACGGGATCGCAATTTCGTGGATCAATATCGCGTAACGATAAAAGAGAAATAATTTCCAGAGATTACACGTTTTCATATCTCGCCTGGTTAATTAAACCGGAAACTGGAGGCGCGTATTAAATGGCGATTAACGAGGTATTGAAAAGGGTTCGTATCGAATGAAACACGGAAAAAATGTACAATTTCTCAGCTTGCTGTGAATCATAGAATCCTTCAACGTAACGATACAATTTTTATCTCGAACTGTAATAAAAAATTAGTAAACATATTTATCAATGTACAACTTTTTTTTCAAAATTGCTCGAGATTGCTCTAAAAATGCTGAATTACTTTCACGTCTTCGATTCAGCATAAAAATACCGTTAATAGAGTTATCCATGATTTTTAAGTTTGCAGTTGAATAATTATGAATCTGTTTAA